TTAAAATTTCTATTTATCATATAGTTAAAGGATAACTTTGAAATCAAAGAACAAATATCATTGGCTCAATATTACATATCGAATTGCAATATCAAATTTGTAGAAACGATGTTGAACTCTTACATTAGTATTAGTTTACAGAAGTACTATGAAACAATCATATTCATATCTTTCTGCAAATTGTATGGGGACAGGTTCTTTGAACGTTTTAGCTCGGCTAACTGTTAAGTTTTAAACATCTTCCAAATCCGACAGGTATGATTTGATCCAACAATCATAAGACAAGGTTGAGTTTAATAGGTTGGTTTATTTCATCTTTTCTATGTTTTAAAATGAATTTATAGAGCAAGGACATGTCTACATATACACTTTACACAATATATACTACTGACATGATAAAATTGTCCTCTCATTTCAAATTTTCTACAACGAGAACAAAAGTATGAATGATATTTTTATCTTCGTCATTATTTATTTTTATTTTGTATAGAATATAGACAAGTATTGTGATTTGAACTAATATATCTTCAAACACAAACAAGAGTCATAACCATGATTGTCAATTCGAGTTTGACTCTGCTAGTCGAACCAATTCTACCTAAACCTGAGTATCTCAACGGGTGCCAAAGGCCCAGTTGGTTGTCTACTCGAACTCGGTCAAACCCATGAAAACCCAATCAAACCTAGAAATCTCACCGATTTAACCAACTAATTCGAGCACCAGGCCACTTTAAAACGATGTTGTTTTCAACAATTCATATACGTAACTACGTTGTCATATCATCCTTTTACTTATCACATAACCCTACAACATGGAACATCACATACCATGTTCGACTATCTCTTCATTAAATTCCTATATATCTTATAAATAGAGGTTAAATTTAAAATAGAGGATAAATTCATCATTTTGGTTATTTTTTAATACTTAATTAAATTCCTATATATCTTATAAATAGAGGATAAATTTAAAATCGCGATCCAAATATCATCGAGTTTAATATTCCATATCGAATTGCAATATTGAATATGTGGAAGTGATGTATAATTCTTAAATTAGTATTAATTTTTTGACCTACTACGAAACAATTGTATCCATATCATTATGTAAACTATATGGGCTGGTTCTTTGAACATTTTTGTTCGGCTAACCGTCAAATTTTAAACCTGTTCCTATTATGACAATTGGATCCAACAATCATTAGGAGTTTAATAAGTTTGTTCATTTCACCTTTTTTTAATGTGCTAATAAATTTGTAGGGAAATGACATGTGATAGACCGATAATTACACCTGTTTTTACCCCTATTCTTGAGCCGTTTGAGAGGTTGATTCTCGTGTTTTAATCCGATTTCACGCGAGGTTGTGCGTTTATGTCATATTTCAGGGCTCGGCGTTGGAATCGAGGCGAAGAAATGAGTTTCGGGTCGAAAGGAGCACGTTTGGGTCGAAGTGTGCTGGAGGAGAAAAATACCCGGCCATGACCAGAAATACCCGGCCGGGTATTATTTTGAGAGGACCGGGGAAATGTGATTTTCGCGTCTGAGAAACAGGAGGGGTCCCGGCCGTGAAGCATAAATCCCCGGTCGGGGATTATTATAGCAGACAGGGGATTTTCCCCTGACATTAAACGCGCGTTTTGAACATACCCGGTCGACACCCAAAATACCCGACCGGGTATTTCGACCGGGGATTGCGTAGGCAGTTTTTAAGGGAAAAGAAGGCCAAAATAGAGGGGTTCCGAGTTTAGAGAGACAGAGCGATTCCTAGAGAGAGAAAGTGACGAACCAGAGTTCCCAAGTGCCCTAGCTTGTTCTTCATCACCATTGGAGCCCGGCTTGAGCTTGGAGAAGTGCCGATTGACGACCAGGAGCAGAAACTCATCCTTCACAGTATGATTTCCGCATCTGAATCTGCTTTTGCTTCTCTCTCCATGGAGTAGTTTTCCCATTCATCTGGGTATGGACTATGGAGAACCCTAGATTTGTATGTTAGGTGTGATTGTATGAACCCAAGTACAGATTTTATGATTTGATTATGTTCAATTGAGGCTTGAATGATTGAATGACTTGAATCCTGATCAAATTCCTGTTATTTCTGCTTTAGCCTAGAAAGAGAATATCTGCCTAGGTTAATAGAGCACCCTTAATTGAAGGTAGTGAATTGGCGACTTTAGTCGAGGAGCCAATTCACTATTTTGTACCGAATTTACTTCGGTAGTGGAGGTTTGGTTCGCTAGGGCCTCAATCTGTTTACTCCGGTGGAGGTTAGTCGCCCGCTGGGGACTCAGATTGAGAGGGTCTAGAGACCTTTAGTCGAGACTTCAGACTGTTTAAGAACCTCTCGCAGTATAACTATCATAGAAACTGAACTTTGTAAATTGCAATCCGGCTCAACTGCAGTCTAGGGGGAACCATATCCGGGTGACCTCTCTCGACTTGAAAACAACTGTTTAACTGTTGCTTGTTTGTTAGTTTAGACCTGCACTAAAGTTTCACCACTAGATAATAAGAATTCACTGAGTAGTCATCACATCTAGGACCCGGGTTGACATTAAAACCCAACCCCGCTATACTACGCTTTAGTAAGTGGTTACACTTGGCTATTTTCTAAAGTGATAGTACGAGTGAGTCAATATGTCTTTATATACACTCTACACAATATATAATACTGAAATGAGAAAATTGTTGTCTCATTTCAAATTTCCTACAACTAGAACGAAAGTAGGAATGATATTTTTGCTTCACAATTATTTTATAGAAACCACAAACTTCCAAAACTCAGAAATTGTAGCTCAAACTAAAAATCATAGCATAAAAAATGAAAGTTCACAAATTTTATTTCGTATATCACTCATTTGAGAGATTTTTCTCTCTATAAAAAAGTAAAATGAAACAAGTTATAGCCAAATCAACAACTTTGGCTTGAAGACGATGATCCGCTTCTTCGTGAGAGAAAGGAATACATGCGGTGTCGTTAGAGATCTAAAGAGAAAAGACAAAAAGGATACATGCGGCACAAGATGATGAGCGGTAAAATTTTTTTCCTACTTCCGAAGATTCACCACGAATTCGTGAATGGGGACTGTGAAATAGATAATCAAATCACGGGCCGGGCTTGGGGCTAAATAAAAGGATAGAAGGTTAGTTAGATGACCGATGATATAGAATTTGCCAATTTTGTACATATACAGGAGAAGATAAGCCATAAAAAGGATAAATTTATTTGTTAATAAGTATATACTATATAGTACGAGAGCATGTTTATTGTGAAAAATAATAGAGGAATAGATTTGAGAAAAATGGATAATAGAGTGACAATTTATGCTATTAACTTCACATGAAAAGTATAAGACCGTGTTGGTAGAGTAGAATTTAAGATTTTATAATGTTTGGATTTTCTTTACTTTTGTACGTGTATTAGTATCTAACACTTAACAACCCCACTTATTATTCAAACAAACCTATACACTATAATAATTTATACAATAAACATTTTTTTTCCACATTTCTGATTTCTATGCATAATTTTTTTTGTTATTCTCTTGATTTTTTTTTATACCTTCAATTCCTACCAATTCTAGATGATACATATTTCTTTCCAACTCCAAATTCATATCCGACAATAAAAAGTCCACAAATCTCTTCTAAGATACGAAAAAGTACACAACAGTAAATTAGAACGACTTGATAAAAAAATCAATATTAACAAATTATCACTAATGTCATCATCAACATATACCATGAAAATTACTTTGAAATAATGAAATAAATATTTTAGAAAATCTCAAATTATTTAAAAATACGAAGAAATTGATCAACATAAAATAAAACAAAATTCATCCGACGAATGATCGGGTGCGACCAACGAGGAAGTAAAAGCTAGTATATACTTAAAATATAAAAAACACCGCTATCTTTCTCGAGTTTGAAGAAAACTCGCCCAAAAATAATACCAATTTCTGGAACTAAATCCCTTCGTATTGGTTCGTGTGGTAGGTTATATTGCCATCCTACTTGGTATTGAGTCTTCTTAACCTGCCTCTAAACGAAACACGCACCTATACCCAAAACAGAAAATACTGGACCGAACGGCTGGGTCTTCTTCAACCTCCGTCCGTCTCTCATCGTCGGCACACGGACTCTGAAACTTTCAGTTCATTCAGCGAGCGAACCGAACCGCATCTTGTGCAGGGAACTAATGTCGAAAAGGAGGGTTTGCCTTCTCACCGTCAAGTCCCTAAGTGCTTTCCCCAAGGTACGCTTTCCCGGTGATTCCTCTTGTCCATTCAAATCCACTTTCCTATCCAGAAACCTCAGCACCGCTCAAAGTTTAAAGCTCCCAACTGACGATTTTGGTGGCGTCTCCCCAAACGAGAGACAAAGCCATGCCGGTTCATGGAGCAACCCGAGGGCAAGCGGCTTAAACCCTGATGGGGGGTTTGGAGATACAGATGGAAACTCGTGGAATTATCAGGACAGAGAGAAAGGGAACTTGGCTGGGTTTTCTGGACCCGATTACACTGAGAACACCAGTAGGAATTATTGCGGAAACGGAAGCAGTTTCAATCAGAATAGCGTATTGGAGAATAATGGATCCGTTGGTGGGAACTACGGATATGGAAATGAGCAGTTTCAGCAGAATTTGCAGGGAAGCAATATGCCAAATTCATGGAATTCTCGAGCTACTTACCAACAGGGCCTACAGGGCAGTAATATTCCGAATTCAAGGAATTCAGACAGTCTCTACAGAGTGAATGACAATGTACAGAGGACAGGTCAGGGATACATGGAGAATGCTAATGGAAATGTTCAAAATCCAAATGGGTATTGCTCACGAGGACTTTCACCGTCCCAGAATAGTCTACATTTGCAGAATGGCATGTATGAGCATGGTGCTGGGAGTAGTGGGATGATGCATCATCGTCTTCCACCTATGCAAGACGGTCATAATCTTAATGATGGACTAAATCAGCAGCAAGCTGGGACACAAGCTGGAGCCATGGCTTTTGGAAGTGCAATGGATGGAGATCTTCTGGAAGAGTTGGATAAGTTTTGCAAGGATGGTAAAGCTAAGGAAGCTGTGGAGATATTGCTAAAGTTGCAGGGAATGCAGGTAACTGTGAACTTCGACTGCCTATTGAGGTTAATTAGTGTCTGTGGGGAGTCTATGGCTTTAAAAGAGGCAAAACAGGTTCATGAGCATATCATGAGAGCTATGTCCTCACCTGATGTCAATACTTATAACAAGATCATGGAGATGTACTCGAAATGTGGTGCTATGGATGACGCACTAGATGTGTTCAACAACATGCCAGAGCGTGATTGGATTTCTTGGGATACCATGATAACATGGCTTGCTAAGAATGAACTTGGGGAGGATGCCATTGATCTGTTCACCCAGTTCAAGGAAGCTGGATTTAGACCTAATTCTAAGATGTTTATTGGAGTTTTTTTGGCTTGCGGTGTCTTGGGTGATATGGATGAAGGTATGTTCCACCTTATATCCATGAAAAATGATTTTGATATCATCCCAACAATGGAACATCACCTTAGCATTGTGCAGATGTTGGGAAGTGCTGGATATCTCGATGAAGCATTAGAATTTATCCACAAGATGCATTTGGAACAGAATGTAAATGTCTGGGAAACCCTAATGTATCTTAGCAGAGTTCAAGGAAACTTGGAGCTTGGCGATCGTTGTGCTGAAATTGTGGAGCAGCTGGACCCCACTCGCCTGGACAAAGAGTCAAAGGCAGGTCTTGTACCAGTTAGAGCTTCTGACATTGCACTTGTGAGGGAGAAGAAGTTGGCCTCACAAAATCTTCTAGAGCGTAGGACGCAGGGATACCGAGCAGGAGATAAATCTTCTCCTGATACTGATAAGATATATGGTCTGCTGAGGAATCTGAAGGCTCAAATGATAGAAGCTGGTTATGTTCCAGAGACGAGATTTGTATTGCATGATGTAGACCAAGAGAGCAAGGAGGAAGCCATCCATGCTCACAGTGAGAGACTTGCTCTTGCTCAAGGCTTTCTAACTTCTCCTGCTCGTATGCCAGTTCGAGTAACAAAGAATCTTCGTGTCTGTGGCGATTGTCATAATGCATGCAAGATCATCTCATACATCGTTGGCAGGCAGCTCATAATGCGAGACAACAAGAGGTTCCATCATATGAAAGATGGTGTGTGCAGTTGCAACGATTACTGGTGAAAAAGGTGCAGATTTAGGTGCCCCTTGAAACAACGCTTCCAATTTTTATAATGCCCTGATGGTGGTGGTGCTGGATGTCTTGGCTCGTTCCAAATATTCATTACCGGGAATCATTGAGAGGAATTATATTCACTTTTCTTCTAAATACGGTCTTCAGACCTGTTGTGGCACTGGTAGTGCCTGGAGCCATCTAAGTTGCCAGTCATTTCTTCTCGTAATTTAAGTAGAGTCTACTTATCTTTTGTTTGGTTGTTTTCTGTTTAATCATTCAACGTTCATATAAGTCTTTGCAGGCAGACGGATTTTCCCCGTTACTTTGGTGAATTTTTTAAGCATCTTACTGTGGCTCCTTAACCAGTTAATATATCCATCATAATCTAGTTGATCATTTAGCCTACTCATTGCGAGTTCTTATTCACAGCCAGTCCGCCACACAAATTTGAACTTTTAAACTAACAAAAAGCGGCAAAAGTTTCGGGAGCTCATACTAATCAAGGGCTAGAGTAAGGAACACCGGAGTTGGAGAATGATTTGCAAATCTTGTCGAACAGCTATCAACAACGAGACAGCAAAAGTCTGCAGGGTTTGATTAGGCTCATGTTTCACGGTCCTGGAACTGAAACAAACCAGGAACCTACAGAGCATATATCAAACAGTTGAAACTTAAAAAGGGCAAACGCTGATGATGGAGAAAACTGTGCTATTGCTACACACTGGGTTTTCTGAGTGTCTATGAACATGGCGGATTCATTAGTTTACCCTACACAAAACAAAGTATAGTTGCAGAGTTCTACAACGGCAAGAGCAAGACAGGGCAGGGGATGAACTCTGCCAGCAGGTTGGCATCCACATGCTTGGAGTGAATTGCTTCCATGCTTATGACCACCAAGTCCAAGTTCAGATCATCAGCAACCTCCCCAATGATGGCTGTGGGTTTCTTCCCTTCCCCAAATCGCTCCAGCAACTTGAATTCCTGGAACCCAACTGCACCCAGTTCAACACAACCCGTTATCATCATTACATTTCCATTACTAGCACATTGACAGCAAGCTTGACCATGATAACATCCATCCAAGTAAGAAGCACACGATTAAATGAACCTATGCGAATACCGATTGGCCTATCTGTCCAATGTCTCTGTTCTCCTACCAAGTCCAATAGGGTGTTACCATTCATCAATGCTCATACCTTCAGACAGATGCCACCGGATGCTCGACATTTGGGTCTCATGCTCCGGAAAGGTTTCCTTCTGCCTTTCATCGATCACTGCAGGCAATGGAAAACATCCCAGTTTTCAGTGAAGAAACAAAGAACACCCATGTCTGTTTCAATGGAGAGAGAGCCAAATTCGAAATGTTGTAGCGTGTTGCTTTTCTTTTTTACCAACAACTGTGATGTCAGCTTCATATTTCTTCGCCAATGCCCCAGCAGTTGCAGCAGCCTGCAGCAGTTGACCAACCAATCCAGGAAGAAGTGCGTGCAAGTGGAAACACATATGGGAGCTTATCAACAAGAGGGCAAACAGGATTTGCAGAATTCTTGGCAAGAAAAGCGAAAAGGGGTGTCATCAGTCATTGCGTTTACCTGTCTTGTTCCTTCAGAGAGATAAGGGTTGGTGTCAGTGACGGGCAAAAGCAAATGCTTGAAACGAGTGAAAGAATCAGCTGCACCCAAATCCACTCCAGATTCTTGCGCCTTGGCCTTGCCTACTCATTAAATCAAACGAAAATTGTCACTCTTGTGCCAAACTAGCGATATATGTTTGGAGTAAGAAAAGAAACGGACATCGACGGAGGGAGGGATCACCCACCTGGTCGTGTTCTGTACAAGATTGGCAATTTGCTGGGCTTAGACGCGAGAGAGCGTGAAGACAAGTGAGCTGGAAACGAAGAGGACTCGGCAGTTGGGCACGAGCTCAAGATCGAAACTCTTCGGCGATTAGAGGAAGTATACGCTGGAACCGCGAGCAGGTAACGCGCAAGCGCCATGGATAAATTGATGCCGACGATCGGAGAGCGAAGGAGAAGGAGAGGAGACGGAAGATTGGGGGAAATTCTAGAAAACCGACACACAGGGAACCCCAAATAAGAAACACAAAGTGCAAAACAAAAACAAGAATGGAAGTGGAGTGGCAATGGATTTGATCCGAGTCACGATGAAGGATGAGACTGAGAGAAATGATTGCATGGGTACGGGAACTGAATGAGGTCGTTTTCCTCTGCCGTTGATCAGATCAGAAGATGAAACTACGAATATTTATATTTAAGGGTTAATATCTTATTATGGTCCGAACTATAACCATTTAAACAATTTTAGCCAGTGGTTTCAGAAATTGTTATTCTGACCTAAATTATACACCATATAGTCTTAATTGGCATGATTCGTGAATTTTTGTCAAATTAGACGGTCAATATTATTGTCCGTAGTGAATCAACATGTTATATTGACGCGAATGCCACGTGGAAAATAAAAGTAATAAAAATAAAATAGTTTAATAAAATAAAAAGATCAAAATTGGATTTTATCTAAATACACAGCCGCCCTGCCGTCCCGCCATCGCCGCCCTCTGTCCGGAGTCTCCCCTTCGAATTCAGCTTCGCCGCCCAAATCCCTAACCCCACCTAAGCCGCCTCTACAGCAAGCTCACCCCTTCCATCGCTCACGATGCCACCGCAATTGCCAAGTTAATCAATGGAGCTTTAGGAGGAGTGATAGAAAACCGAATCCATCTCCGACCTTATCCTCAACAGTGCTATTGTCTCCAGCCGAGGCCACCATTTTTCGCCGTAACTACCACCACTGACCCTGCCTCTTATTCCTCTTGTTGCTGCTCCTCTCGCCCGAATTCGAATTGTTGCCTCCTTCGTCCTTCTCCCCCCCCCCCCCCCCCCCCCCGTTTCAAGCCCGACGGCAACACCATTGGGTGGCGGAGGAGCTACTGCCATGGCGATGTCCCGGCCAGAGAAATTAAATCTCCTTCCCGACCCTTCCCTACCAGAGCGTTCTGCAAAATTCCATCCCCCCAATGCTGGAACAAAAGGAATCTGAGTGAAAAACAAAAGAGGTGGCGGAAATCGGAATTGAGAATTTTCTGAGTCCAGATCTGTTGATATAAATTAAAGTTTAATTATTAAAATAAAATATATAAAAAAATCAGAAACTCCTAGAATCAATCTACGTGTGTTGTTTTATGTGAAGGTTTGTATGTGTGGAAGTTGGCTGCTAGGATTAAACAAAAGAAAAATTAGCTAGCCACAAAAGAGAGGTAGGTTTCAACCGTCTCATTTAATTGCCCTAGATATTTCACAATTGTAAAGCCTATAAAAGGCTGTCTTGTGCATGGGTTGTAGAAGCAGAGCAAGAAGCAAAATATAAAGAGCCAATAAAAGAAGTCTCTTCCCTCATTTCTCTCTGCCCGTTCCTTTCCCACAATTAAACATAAAGCCTTTCCCATTGGCTAGCTCAAAATAAGCTCTCCATCAAATAAGCCCACCAAAGTTGCCATTTCATATACCATATGCGTGCCCACCATTAGCCAAAGGAAATAAATTAATTTTTTTCGAACAAAGTGGTATCAGAGCCCGAGTTATTTCTGAGTATGCTCTGTGTTTGCAGCGTAGTCTGAACTTCCACATCAGAAAAGAATTTCTCGTGTTGTGGTTCTCACGATTGTCCCATGGCCGAAAAATATACTTTCCCCATTCAATTCCCCACCTTACCAAAACCAATTACAAAAATTGGTGCATCCGTATGAAAGCCTTGCTGGGATCCCAAGATGCTTGGGATATTATTGAGAAAGGTTACGAGATTCCTGCGGAGGATTCTCGATTATCTCCTGCTAAAAAGGAGGTATTGAGAAAAAATAGAACGAGTGATCAAAAGGCACTCACACTAATTCATCAATGTCTTGATGAATCTATGTTCAATCAAATAGCAGATGCTACCACGGCTAAGGAAGCATGGGAGATTTTGCAAAAGGAAATGCAAGGCGTGGTACCAGTAAAGAAGGTTCGACTCCAGACACTAAGGGGAGATTTCGAAGCAATTAAAATGAAGGAAGGTGAATCTATGTCAGATTTCACCACCCGTGCGAAGTCTATTGCCAACAAACTGAAGCAATATAAGGAGAAAATTGAAGAGACCAAAGTGGTGGAGAAAATTCTACGGTCATTATTACCGAAGTTTGACTATGTGGTGGTGGCCGTGGAGGAAGCCAAAGACTTATCAAAATTGACGGTGTATGAAGTCATCGGTTCACTACAAGCCAGAGAAGAAAGACTAAATAAAAGAAATGAAGAATCGTCAGAACAAGTGTTAGCTACAAAAGCTACCACTGAGGAGAAAGAAGGCGCACGAGGAGGAAGTTACAACAGAGGTCGTGTGTGTGTGAGTTTGTGTTTGAGTTTAGGGAAATGTTGAATTGATTGAGTTTGAGAATTGTGGAAATACCCTATTTTTGCACACATTATGATTTCAGTGTAATCATCACGGCCTTATCTGCAACGTCTAGCTAAAGACGTAAAATAAACGCTTGTTGGGAGGCAAGCAACATTGAATTGTATTTCTTTTCCTTATTTTCTCTTGGTGAGTGAGTGTGTGTGTGTGTGTGAGTCAAGTGTGTGAGTTTGTGTTTGAGTTTAGGGCAATGCTGAATTGATTGAGTTTGAGAATTGTGGAAATACCCTATTTTTGCACACATTATGATTTCAGTGTAATCATCACGGCCTTAGACCGTAATAACAACATCTAAACCATGATGTTGGAAGGTTTTTCCTACGATTTAGAGACATCACGGTCCGTGTGAAATCTTCACGGGATGAAGCCTGTGATTTTAAATGCACCGTGATGTCGGCCTAAATTTCACCGTTTTTGGCTTAGATCACGATTTGTGTGTTAGGATCGCGGTATGAGACTGTGATACCAAAATTGTAATCCTGACCCTAGGGCAGTATAAATAGGGTGTGATGTTCACCAAGCTTAAACATTTCATTCGCCGGATTCCTATGAATATTTTGCCGAAAATTGTTCTCCCATATGATTTTCTAACGATTTGATCTAGTTCCGGGCACCCAAATAAAAAACCAAACATATACCCATAACCCCTTCTCTTAGGTGCACCTTCGTCGAGATTTTGGGGGATTTGACGTCAATTTTGTCGCCGACAATTTTCTCATGCGAGACTCAGGCAACGCTCAAGAGACCCCCTCCGGCGAGTTTTTCGACTCCCACGCCACTTCCTCACCTTCCTTCAGTCCCACTTGAGTCTCCAATTGTGTTTGACATGGTCTACCTTCCTCAACACCAACATGTTTGCTATGATTCCGCTCGTACCACGGTGCTAACACTTCGACCCCAATGACGCATCATTAATACACTCCTTTCTCGGTCCATTCTCTCGAGTGACCAATCGTCCAAAAAAGTCACCAAAAAGAGCTCTACTTACCTTCACCACCATGTTAGACGTAACTGAGGAGCTGCACCTTGGGACATTCTTGGCAATATCATTCTTCAGGGCAACAGACAATCGTCATGATCATATCATACATTTGGGCCCTTACATCACCAAGTTGGCTCGGTATCTCAATGTTGACCTTAGTTGTTGTACCAAGGTGGGTCGCACTACGAACTCACAGGATGAGACACTGGATTCCATGCTCTTACTTTGAGTGTTTGGGCCTTACATATACATCAAAGGTCTCTTCACACCACCAGATCCACCACGGAGAGAACCTCCATCAGCTGCTATCGTGGCCATCACGTGGCTTCATCATAAGTCAAAGTTGAACCTTCTTCCTCGAGTGAACTAGAGTCCCGAGTCTCTGTCCTCGAGGGCCATCTCACGTGTGTATCTTCCCAGATCGCTCGAGATCGAGATGCCCGACGACATACACACCGCTTGATGGAGGATCTTGCATGTTCTTAGGGAATTGTTGTTCTGGACGAGTGGCCGCAATCACCTCATCCCTAGGGGTAGCCTTCACATGAGTGTCATGTTTGCACCATAGTACTAGCACCTTCTTTCTCCCCACTCTGACTCTAAACTCTTGATTTGTGATTTTGTGTGTTGAACTAGTACTACTATTGTGTTGTTTTTCTTTTGTGTGATGTTGAATAATTTTATTGTGTAATAATCGTGCCTTGTGCGAGTATGTGTTTGTGTTTGTCTCCTTGTGAAGCTCTCTCTCCCTCGATACTGGTCCAACGCCGGTCCGACTTTCACTCGTCAGCTCACCCTTCTATTTGCTCCATTGTGGACAATGCATTGCTTAAGTGTGTGTGTGTGTGTGTGTGTGTGTTGCGTGTGTGCGCGGTGGGGGGGGGGTGCATATATTTGTGATTGAATGTGAATGGCATATTTGAATGTTTTGGAGCCTTGCGATTGCGACAATTTCTACTATTTGTGGGCTCCAATCACTTGTGCATGAATGAATGATGAATGGACAATATTGAGATGTGCTTTGGAACATAGATTGTTGCTTGAAATTGAATTGGAAATTTTAGGGGTTCCGATCGCAATTGTCCTAGCATGATCTTGCTCAGTGTGCTTTTAATTGTTTGACAATTATGATGGTATGCAGTATAGGGAGTAGAGTGGTGCCATGGGACTTCTTGATCATGAGTGACTTTACTTCGATTTTCTTTCAGTTGTGTGAAAGTGTTTGTTATGGAGGTTACGACATGTTAGTGGGATTCCCCAAGTTAGGACTCCAAATTTTTTGCAAAGGCTTCTCCAATTTGATTTGTTTTTCTTTTTTAAATTAAGGTTCTCACATGAGAGGAAACCGGGCATAGTGTTTGAGTTTAGCTGTCGAAGGGCTCTTCTCTCTTTCTGGAGTGCCATATGAGGATGTGTTTGGGTTTTGGAAAGCTTTCTAGCATCCCGATCATCTTTCACTACCTTCCATCCCCCAAACACCTCTCCTCCTCACGGACTCGTATGGAGACAAGATAGTGTGCCTTTAAGCGAGTCATGAGACCTCGACTCTCGTTTTCACACTACATGTGTGGCAACCCATCCATCTTTGAGAAATGGAGTGCAGGTTGGGAAGTGGTGCTTTGGCAATGAATCCAACCATCATGTTCCCCACATGGGTCTTAGATAGGGAAGGCAATGTTCTTTTCGCTCTTGGTCACGAGGGAGAGATGCCTTGATTTGCAAAATTTCAAAGTGTGGAGCGGTGTATGGAAAGTTTAAGTTGAGGCTCAAAAAATTGAGTC